ACGAGGGAACCTGCAAACAAACCTTACCCCATCCATTTCCTCTCACTAATGTGTCTTCCACAGAACCCTACCCTTGTAACCCTGAAACTGGTTTTCTTAGTCTTGTCCTTTCTCTACAAATGCTTTTGTGTTTTCTAATTTCGATTTTATTTACTATTAGTGGTAATGTGTGTGTATGAGGGTGTCTACATGCCACAGGGAGCATGTGGAGGTCAGTGCATAACCTTCCGGAGTTGGTTTTCCCCTTCCACTGTAGGATCCCAAGAAGGCACGTAGGTCATTAGGCTTTAATGGCACATCCTCTTATCCACTGAGCCCACTTTGCTGGCTCTAAAAATGTATTTTTTGTGGGGAGGCGGGAAGGAGATGTGGGGGAAAAATTCTAGGGCCTTGTTTAGATTATGCAAATTTTTCACCACTAAGCCATATCCCAGCCCTAGCTATTGTTTTTAAACAAGCTATCCAGTCTTGTAAGCTGATGCTCTGGGTTACCTCTTTTCTCCTGTGTGATTTTTTTCTCCCCAGGCAATTATTACTAAACTTTTATCTTCATGTTAGTCTGCCTTCTTGTTTATTTGCTAGACAGGTCTTGCTATGTAGCCCAGGCTAGATTTAAACTCACTTTGCAGTCCAGTCTAGCATCAAACCTGAGGCAAACCTCTTACTTCACCTCCCAGTGCCGAGATTGCAGGCATGCATCACCCACACTCAGCTGAAAACCTGTGATATCGTCTCTACAAGGCCTAGCCTGGGAACTGATGTCCTCACCCTTATGCTATACTATATCAGCCAAAGCAAGTCGAAGCAATAGCCTGGATTTGGGGTGTGAGTAACAGGGTAGGGTTGAAAAAGACTCATCTGCTTTGTAGCAGGAGCTATGGTCATGTTGCAAAGTGTGAATAGAGTCATTGCTGGTTATTCATTGGTTATGTTGTCCTTAACCATGCCACAGGGCACTACCAATCAAGGCTGGGCAATCTTTAGTGATGACTGCACTTTGGCAGAGTGATAAGATACTTGTAGCCAGCAACACAAATCTCTCTTCTGGGTCCCCAGACTTGTCTTTTCTGTCCCTACCTTTTGCCTTTGTTCTGAACCCCATCTGGGTTGATTTTAAGGGTTGTTTACTGTGCCAGGAGTTTGCTCTGAAGTTCAGGGTTCACCCCAAGGCTGTGATGCTCTATGTGTGGAAAGCTAAGCAGTTGTTGGATGTATGTGGCAGGGTGCCCCAGCACCTCCAGAATCAGAGAAAAAGGAGTGAGTCACTTGGCTAAGCATGGAATACAGATAATATTCATCATGCCATCACTAGAACCTGTGACTTGCAAAGGAAACTCATGGGTTGTCACTGTCAGGCCAGGTGCTGAATCTTCTTATTCTCAACTCTGGCATCATAAGCTGCTAAGCTACTTCATCTTACTCTGCCTGCATGTACCATAACAATTAGGATGGTCTGTTCCTGGGCTGACTCTTTCATTTGACACTGGACTCCTTTAGGGAAGAGGTGCAGCTGGTTATTTTATCTGTAGTGACTGGCACAAAGCAGGAAGACAAGTTGGGGAAGAATATGCAGGCAGGAAAGGGATCAAGCAGAGGAACTGCAACTCTCTACCATACTGCTCAGTATTTTTGATTTTTAGGATATTTGTAGACAAGTGCTTGGGTGATTCTCTAACTTCAAGGGACCATGCCACAGTCAAGGTCAAATGGTATCACTTTCTAAGACTATGGTGTGGTCTTTTGCTGTGATCTACTTTCATTCCTAGTATGGTTTATTTGCTGGGATCATTAATATTTAAGTCAAAGCTGTGAGGTTTTTGCTTTTGAGTTTTTTTTTTTGTTTTTTTTTTTTTGGGGGGGGTTGTTCAAGACAGCCATGGCTGTCCTGGAACTCATTCTGCAGACCAGGCTGACCTTGAACTCAGAGAACCACCTGCCTCTGCCTCTTGAGTGCTGGGATTAAAGACATGCATCACTACCACCTGGCAAAGCTGTGAGTTTGAATCCCAGCTCATATATGGACCAAGTCTTTCTGCTGTGGATCCCCAAATCCATATGTTGCAGTCTTGTGCTGGGTATGGTGGCATGCACCTGTCATCAAGAAGAGAAGGCAGGGGGCCCGAGTTTGAGGCCGGCTCAGACAACACAGTGAGCCAACAGGGAAGAAAAGAAAGCCAGAAATAATAAATCCCAACTCCAAAGATGATGGCATAAGGAGGTGGACTGAAAGGCTAAAGCCCTCACAATGGGACAGGTCTCATTACAAGGTAAGCCTGAGGCTGGCTGGGACAGTGGTGCAGGCTTGTAATACCAGTGCTTAGGAGGCACAGGCAGGAAGATCGTCACAAGCCTGAGGCCAACCTGGGCTACTTAGGTACATAGTGAATTCCAGGCTACCTTGGGTGTTATTCTAATAAATAACAAGCCCTGGTCTCAAAAATAAATAAGCCCAAGAGAGCTGCCCTTCTGTGGGCTCACAGGACTAGAAGAGCCATCTTTACAGAAGTATTATTCTTTAGACATTGCCTGCACCTTGCCTGTGGGTTATAAAGTACACAGTCTGTGCTGATGGACCTTCATGGTCAACTTGACTGGAATGAGAATTACCTAAGGGATTAGTAGAGCATGCCTCTGGGTGTGTCTGTGAGGGCTTTATCTGAGACCATTAGACCACAATGGCTCTGACCTAATGAATGGATGAATGGCTTGAATGACTGGCAATATGATGGAATTATTGGAAGGTGGTCAAACGGAGGAGCTAGCTGGAAGAACCCACCACCCTAGGGCTGTATCTCGCTCTGGCCCATTCGTGTATCCCTCTTTTGTTTGTTTCCTGGCCACCATGTTGTGAATTGCTCTGCTCCTCTGTAGTCACAGTGAAAGGACACCACTGAAACCCTGAGCCATCTCTCCTGCCCTGGTTCCTTCCCTGCTGAGTTTTTTCTGAACAGCTATGAGAAAAGTGACACATACACAGTGTTAGGAACTAGCAGCCAGCTGACCCCGGCGGGACGCTCATGGCCCTGTCATCGCTATGTCAGCCTTACCTGGCTGCCAGAGGACTCAGTTAAGCATGCGCAAGCCCCTTTTAAAGCAAGTGCGCCAAGTGCTGCACTCTCTCTGGTTTCTCTCTTGCCCCCCCCGGCTCGTGCTCTCTCTCTCTTTCTCTCTCTCTCTCTCTCTCTCTCTCTCTCTCTCTCTCTCTCTCCTACTTTCGGTTGGCCACCAGCTACCCACTTTTTCTCTCCCTTCTCTCAATAAACTCCACGTGGGCGCTGAGTCTGGTGTTTGTGTTTCTTAGGCATAAGCTGCAGCAAAAGAACAACACACAGTCTAAGGCATTTTGTTAAGTTAGCCTAAAGAGATCAAGGTCATTTCCTGAGCTGCCCACTAATAAATTGGGGTTTAGCCAGTCTTTAATTCCAGCACTCAGGAAGCAAAGGCAGGCAGATCTCTGTGAGTGTGGAGCCAACCTGTCTATATAGTGAGTCCCAAGACAGCTAGGGCTATGTAGAGAAATGCCCTCTCAAAAGATAAACAAATAAATAAAACCAGGGATTTAAATATCATGCTCACATTGTCAGTATGGGAGAAACAGGTTTTTATGTGGCCTCAAGCTTCTAAAGCTTGAAAGATGAAGGGGGGGTGGAAGTGTAAATCTCAGTCGGTAGCATGCTTGCCCTGCATGTCTAAAACCCTAGGTTTAGTCCCAAAACCACATAAAACAGGTATGGAGACATAAAGCCTAGCACTCAGGAGGTGGAGGAAGTGTAATAGGGCAAAGGTTTCTCCATCTTGTCTCAGCTGAAGTCATCTTTGGTTTCTGCCCCCTGCCCTGAAAAGTCCTGTGGGAAAGCACCTAACCTTGTTCTAGAAGTTGGTGATCAAAATGTCCCAGCTAACTGCATATTCTTGGCTCTTGTTAGATTGCTTGGAACTGCTACTGCCAACCAGGCTGTCGTTTTTTTCTGGGTTTTATTTTATTTTGTCTTTTAAAAATTCCTTGTAATATGTATTCAGGACTGCTCTCTGAGAAGTGTTTCTCTCCAGGCAGTGCTCGCCGGCTTAATATAGACTCTCAGTTTGAACTTTGGTCATGCTGAGTGGTCTTTGGGTCTCTACCCCACAACAACAGGATCATAAGTTCTAGGTCATACTTTGGAGATAGTTTAGTAGGTATAAAAGCATTTGCTGTGCTGAGGACCTGAGTTCAAATCTCCAGAACCCACATAAAAGCTGACCTATGTAGGTGTAGGTGTGTGTGTGTGTGTGTGTGTGTGTGTGTAATCTCAGGGACCTACAGTGAAATAGGAGGTGCAATCAGGAGACACCAGAAGCTCACAGACCAGCTAGTCTGGGGTGCTCAGTGGAAAAAACAAAACACCCAGTTTCAAAGAAGATAGAGATGGTTCTGAGGTTAAGGACACTAGTTTCTCTTCCAGAGGACCTGGGTTCAATTACCAGTACCTACATGTACATACCTACATTATCAGGTGCACACACACACACACACACACACACACACACACACACACACACACACACACCACACTCCAGAGCTGAAGAGAAGACTGAAGACTCATGGAATAAAGGCACTTGACACACAAAAGGCTTACAATGTGAGTTTGATCCCTGGAACCCACAAAATCGACCTCTGACCTCCACACATGACCTCACACACACACATCATGCATACAGTGATAAGAAAGTTAAAAAAATGTTTTAAAGGTGGAAAGAGAAGACACCCAAGGTTGTCCTCTGATCTCTACGTGCATATATACCCACATTCATTCATACACATAAATTGTGGCTTGAATGACAATGGCCCCATAGGCTCATATATATGAATAGTTGTGTGTGTGTGTGTGTGTGTGTGTGTGTGTGTGTGTCTGTCTGTCTGTCTGTCTATCATCTTTCTGGCTGTGTCTCAAAATGTGAGCTCTCAACTTCTGCTCCTTGCTGGAGACAGTGCTCTGCCAGGGACAGTGAAGGATCCCAAGATGACTGAGTGTAAACTTGCTTTAAAAACCATTGATTGGGTAGCTTTTGTGGACATCATATCCCAAAACAAAAAGACAATTGCAAACTCCCTAAAGTCCTGGAATGAGACCCTCCATACCAGGATGGCTGGGGAACCACTGGTGATTAACTGGGCTTATTACAAGGCCAATGTGGCCAAGGCTAGCTTGGTGGATGATTATGTGTTTTTCTGTTTTGTTTTCCAAGACAGGGTTTCTCTGTGTAGCTTCAGAGCCTATTCTGTAACCCACATTGTAGACCAGGCTTACAGAGATCTGCCTGCCTCTGTCTCCTGAGTGCTGGGATTAAAGGTGTGCACCACCACCACCACCACCACCACCACCACCACCACCACCACCACCACCACCACCACCACCACCAGGCTGGTGGATGATTTTGGAAAGAAGTATAATGCCCTGAACATCCTGGTGACTGAGGGTAAATACATGGCCCTGGTGAACAATGAGGAAAAGGAGGATGTGAAGAACTGTGCTAGTTTGTGTCTGAATCCTAGGTCAGGATCCAGGAATATGAGAAGCAGGCTGGAGAACATGAAGACCATCTTTGATCAGATGACCCTTGATCACTTGAATGAAATCTTCCCAGAAACCAAGCAAGACAAGAAGTATCCATACTGGCCTCAGCATCCCATTGATAACCTGTGGAACAGGCCTGGAGAGAGTGCCAGCCCTGCATTCCAAACTCTGGATATTAAAATAAAACATCTACATAGTGAAAAATAAAAAGATGGGAGCTCTGAGCTACTGCTCTAGGGCTGTGTCTGCTGCCATGCCCCCTGCCATGATCATCATGGACTCTAACCCTCTGAAACCATTAGCCCCAAATTAAATGCCACACTTATGCTGAAAATCAGAAACTAGCAACCATGATGATGGTGATGTTGTAGCAACAGTTAAGAGTTCCTGGATCAGTGTGTGTCCCTGTGCGATTTGCAGTACTCAGTGTGGACTCAAATCCACTTCCTTGTTCTCACCAGAGAAAGGAAGCCTGCCCTTCTTTTAAATATTTACTGTTTACTTTCTGACTGTTGTTACCTGAGCTTAGGACTAAGCTTTCAGCACGTCCAGTGTCCCTTGGATGAGCCCTTTGCTGTCAGAGCTAGGTGTGGTTTGCAGGAAGTATGCGTACTCTGTCTAGAAAGACCAAGGTAAGGCAGAACCATCCTTTAAGCCATTTTTCCTTCAAAGCTCCTGGCAAGCCTGAGTTCCAGGCACCCCATGACCTGCCCCCACCTGCCTCCCAGACACTGACCCTGCCAAGCTCTCACTCTGCCGCTGGTTATGCTTGGCTTGCTGCCCAGATCTCCCAGCTCTCTCCCTCATCTTTTATCTCCTTCTAGGCCCCTCCAGGTTACACTTGGGATTCTCAGCTCTGAACCCAAATTTTACCATTTCCTGTTCCCTTAGTTGTATTTTATGAGGGACAAATATGGCAAGGTATCATTGCTGACAGGAGACAGATCAAAGCAACCCTGAGTCATCTCTTCTTACCACTCTGCCTCCAGAGCAAATCCATCTCTCCTTTCTTCACCCTTAAGATGTGACTTCGGCTGGGCGTTGGTGATGCAAGCCTTTAGTCCCAGCACTCAGGAGGCAGAGGCAGGCAGATCTCTGTGAGTTCGAGGCCAGCCTGGTCTACAGGCTCTAAAGCAATACAGAGAAACCCTGTCTCGGGGAGGATGTGACCTCAGACAAGTCCTGTTATTTCTTGGGATGCTTTTCAAACATGGTAGGCTTTAAACTATAAGTTGGATCATGCAGCTTATTTATGATGTTTACTTCCATAATTAGGATTTTTCACTTCAGGACAAATCAAAGGCTCATTAAAAATTCATTTTCCTTAGGCATGGGGCATATGCCTGGGCTCCTTCCTAGAAGGTCAGACAAACATTCTAAGAGGAAACCACAAAATGCATCCTCTCTGATTTCTTCTTGACTATGCACACAACTGTCCTACTCTTTGATGGACCATGAGACCAGGGCCCAGAAGTGAGCAGACATCAGGGTGAGCAAATGAGAGGCAGGTGCACAAATTTTAGGATCTCGCCTACAGCAGACGGGGCCTGGGACACCATTCCCAGCTATTACATGGTGTTATCAAAGAGGAGAGAAAGTAAAAAAGGAAAGGAGGTCTGGGTCTGGCTGCTCTGTGGCCAGAGGAAATGGGCAGCGGTTTCACTTTTGTAACAGAGTGCTTGATGGGAACCCAGAGCCTGGATGACTCAGAGGGAACACATTGAAGGGGCCAGACCTCTGTTTTGGCAGCCATGACAGGCTGCAGAAAAGACATGTATGCCTCTGACTCAGCACATGGCTGACCTTGTTGGGCCTGCCCTAGTCACCAGGAGGTCAGATAGTCTCCTCATGTCAAGGAACCAATCAGAAGTTAGCTGGCAGGAATCTGGATGTGCTTTATAGCACAAGTGGCACAACAGTGCAGAGCATAGCAACTGCCCTGAGAGGGCCTATAGGCCATAACAACCAGTTGACCAATCAACACAGGACAGGTCGTCCACGCTGGGACGGGCACCAATCCTGAGACTGTTGCTTACCCCTTACTCTGCCCAATAAGTTTCCCATCTCTCTGTTTCTCCGGGTCCTTCTCCAGCCATCCTCTGCCCTTCGGCCCGAGTTAATGCACTTAGCTCATTAAACAACAGTAAAAGACTCTGCTTTTGCATCAGAACAGGTCTCTTGGTGATTTTGGGATTCAGAATCTGGGCAAAACATCATAATCTGGGGAGGAAAAGAAATATGGAATTTGGACTCAATCCTTTCCTAGTACAAGGTAAGACCACCCACACACTCCCAGCCACTGTTAGTGGACTTCTGGTTTCTCCAAGCCCTTTTGTTATCATACTCCAATAAGCACTAACATCAGAACAGGGATTCTCCACTAAGACTCTTAAGATCCTGACTGTCCATCGGTGGAAGAAGCCCACTTGAAACTTGGACCTCTAGGCAGCAAGAGGTCCAGAGAGAGGTCCCGCTGCTCAAGCCGGGAGTGCACGGGTCGGTAACCCAGCAGCTTCAGTGCTCCAGCGCATAGTTCCTGGACCCGCTGGATCTTGGCAAAAGGCAGCGTGTGACGCCAGGCTTGGGACACATTGAGCGCATCCCTGGATGAGGTCTTGAAGGCCTCGCGGCGTGCGCCTGGCCCTGACCCATGCGTGATGTTGTGGATCCAAGTCTGGAGCTGTGGTGTGAGTCTCAGGCCAGTGAAGGCATAGAGCTCACGGATCTCAGTGAGCGGGTCCCGGGCCAGATCTTCGTAGCGCACTAGACGGTAGCGATCTTGCAGGAAAGGCGGCGGCTTATGCAATGCGGCCTCAGCGATGCGCACATGGCTACGGCACACCTCACTAACCACGCGCAGCCGTGGGTCCACCTCCACCCACGTGCCGTTGGTACCCAGGACGATGCCATTGTCCCGTGCCAGCGCCTTGGCAGCCTGCTCTCGTGAGCGCAGCACCGCGCGGGGGTCGCGCACCAGGTGCACGATACGCAGGTTGAGCGCTGGGTCACTAAGCAACGGGTAGAGAACTTGGAGGTTAAAAAAGCGCACCTCCTTGAGTACTATGTGGCTATAAGAGTTACAGGATTTTCGGGCCAGGCTGAAGGGCCGTGTTGCGCACAAAGTCTTGCACACCTCCTCGTTGCTGATCTTGCCGCGTCCGAAGGCATTGCAGACCGGTGGCGAACACAACGCACGACTTACCGCCCACTGGAAGAGATCTGAGATATTGCGGTGCCAGGGGAGGTAGGCATCAAAGACGTCCATGTCGCACAGGAACACTGAACGGATCAGGTCGCGTACGGCCATGTGGAGCGTAGGGGCACTGCCCTGTGACAGGGCATCCCACACATGCCAAGCCGGCTCCATTAGGTAGAAGACATCTGGGTGTTGGCTGAAGAGTTGGCCCACGAAAGACGAACCCGAGCGCCAGGAAGACAGCACCAACACGTGCACATGCTCCCTACTGCCGGCTGGGGACAATGACATTTGCCGGGAGACCAGGAAGACTAGGATGCAGGTCTGTGCTATCAAGAGTGAAAGCACAAAAACGCTGGAGAAGCGGGGCAGCCGCATGCCTCTGGTTAGGGCCTATAAAAAGGGAAGGACAGGGTTAGGGACTGTGGCCTGAGCTCACATCCCAGGTCCAACTTCAGCCCTGTGCAGGTTGCATTCGATAAGTAGCTGTAGGAGGACCCTAAACTTTGTTCCTTCTACCTCCAGCTCCTAAGTGCTGGTGAAGGGACCAGCCCCACCCCTCCCCCTTAGCAGCCATGACAGGCTGCAGAAAAGGCATGCAGGCCTCTGACTCTCAGCACATAGCTGACCTTGCTGGGCCACTAGGAAGTCAGATACCCTCCTCGTGGCAAGGAACCAATCAAAAGTTAGCTGGTGGGACTCTGGATGTGCTTTATGGCTCTGGGTAAAAGTGGCACAGCATGCAGAGCATGGCAACCATCCTGGGAGGTCCTGTGGGCCATAACAACCAATTGACCAACACAGGGCAGGCTGCCCAAGTCTGGAAGCACACCAATCCTGAGACTGTTGCTTACCCTTAGACACTCCCCTTATGCTGCCCATTAAGTCCCCCCCCCCAACCTGGGGTTCCCCTGGGTTCTTCTCCCACCATCTGGAATGAATGAAGGGTCCCAGTTAATGGGGTTAGTTCATTAAACAATAAAAGACTCTTTACTTTTGCATCAGAATGGATCTCTTGGTGACTTGGAGGATTCAGAATTTAGGCACAACACTCCTATGTGTTACCACACCTGGTTTAGCAACTAGTTTTTGATTTGTTTTGTTTGTTTGTTTGTTTTCTTTTTTCAAGACAGGATTCCTCTGTAATAGTTCTAGCTGTCCTGGAACTATCTCTGTAGACCAGGTGGACTTTGAACTCACAGAGATCCGCCTGCCTCTGCCTCCAGAGTGCTGGAATTAAAGGTGTGTGCCACCACCACCTGGCCTGCAAATACTAATTTTCAAACAAATCTACTGCCTTTTGCTTAAGAATCCCTTTTATGGAGTTACTTTTGGGTGACTGGCCATAAGTACTGCCTGTTGTTCCTTTGTTACAGTTTTAGGATAAAGCTGGAGGCGGGGTGTCCTGCATGGGGGACCACGTAGGAGACCATAGCGGATTCCACAGCAGGGCAGGGTGACCGAGGTGGAGGGAATAATACGCCAGGCAGAAAGAGCTTGAGGGAGTTTATTAGAAAAGGGAGTGAGGGGGAAGGTAGAGACATAGAGACACCGGAACAGAAGAGAACAGAGGGAGAGTGCACACATGAGTAGAGAATGCTTGCTTAAAAGGGGCAAGCTTTGCACATGTGTACCGAGTCCTTATGCAGCCCCATAACGTGTGGCTTAGCAATGACGTGGCCACGCTGGGTATGCTTGCCCGGCACATCGTTAGGGCATGGAGTCAGCACATTGCCAGTTTCCAACACTGGCAGGCTTTTCAGGATGAATCCTGACTCTTCCTGCTCTGTGATCTTAGCACTAGACAATCTCTCTGTGACTCTATTTACCCATCTGTTAAAGGGGAATAATATAGGTGTCTGGCTTCCTGGATTTGTGGAGGATGACTGAAAAAAAGCATAGAGGAAGGGGAGTAGTGTGACTCCCAAGATTGAAGACTAGAACTTTCTATGGTACAGTGTGCTTCCATGTTGTATGATTTTTTAGATTAACAAATATTTTTGTTACTAAAAGTTACATGATTTTTATAACTAAAAGTTAACAGTATTGTAGAATATTACTTTAAGATGGGATACATTTGTTTATGCCATGGGACATTTATTTAATGATGCAAAGATGTATTGCTTTTGTTGTTGTTGTTTCTTTTTGTTTTTTTTGAGTCAGGGTTTCTCTGTGGTTTTGGAGCCTGTCCAGGAACTTGCTCTTGTAGACCAGGCTGGTCTCGAACTCACAGAGATTCACCTGCCTCTGCCTCCCGAGTCCTGGGATCAAAGGTGTGCGCCACCACTGCCCAGCCAATATGTATTGCATTCTTTTATGTTGCATTTGTTTAACTCTGTGACGTTCTGTTACTTTGCCTGTCTAAAACACCTGATTCGCTTAATAAAGAGCTGAACAGCCAATCACACCAGGCAGGAGAAAGGATAGGCAGGGCTGGCAGGCAGAGAATAAACAGGGGGAGAGATCTGGGAGAAGATCTAGGAGCAAAAGGAGAGGAGAACACCAGGGGCCAGCAACTACAGAGTAAGCAACTACAGAGTAAGAAGTAAAGAAAGTTATACAGAACTAGTAAAAGGTAAAAACCCAGAGACATAAGGTAGACTGGATGATTTAAGTTGAGAAAAACTGACTAGAAATAAGCCAAGCTAAGGTCCGGCATGCATTCATAAGTAAGAAAGAATACACCTTTGTGTGATTTAATTGGAAGTTTGGAAGCTGGGTGGCAGTCTCCCCCCTCCAAAAAAAAAAAAAAAAAAAAAAAAGCCCAAAGAACAAAGAAATAACCAACAATGAAACAGGGCATGGTAAAATGGCTCAGCAGGTAAGCCACTTGCTGCCAGGCCTGATGAGCTGAGTTTAAATTCTTGGAATACACATGTAAAAAGACAGAGCTGATTCCCCAAAATTGTTCTTGGCCCTTGACCTCCATATATGAACACCCTCCCCCACACACACACAGAATGGGGATGTGTATCTTAGTAAGCCCTGCATTCAATCTCCGGCACAGCATAAGCCAGGCATGACAGTGCACTCCAGTAACTTCAGCACTTGGTAAACAAGGGGGGAGGATCAGGAGGTCACAGGATCCTTAGCTACACAGCAAGTCTGAGGTAATCACCTGTGACTCTCTTTCTCTCTCCTCTCTCTCTCTCTCTCTCTCTCTCTCTCTCTCTCTCTCTCTCTCTCTCAAAGAAAGAAGCAAGCTGTGAGGTGGTTGTGCAAGCTGAGCAGAGGTGGTGATGTACACCTTTAACCCCAGCACTCTGAGAGGCAGAGGCAAATAGATCTCTGTGAATTCAAGGCCAGCCTGGTCTACAGAGTGAGTTCCAGGACAGTCAGGACTACAGAGAGAAACGCTGTCTCAAAAAACAAAAACAAAAACAAAAGAAGAAGATGGGGGGAGAAGACGGAGAAGGAGGAGAAGAAGAAGAAAACACAAAAGGGCCATAGATAGAGTTCAGTGGTAGAGCTCTTATCTGGCATGGGCAGGCCCCAAGGTTCAACACACACACACACACACACACACACACACACACAGAGAGAGAGAGAGAGAGAGAGAGAGAGAGAGAGAGAGAGAGAGAATAGGTAATATCTTTGCCATCACCTCTGGACCTCTGGGGAGAAAATGCTGAAGCTGGGATGGACTCCATGGGTTTCAGAGGAGCCCAGGGAAGTGGGAGGCAGAGCAGAGGTATACCCATGGCAGGCTGATGGCCCTTCCCCTGCTGAGAGTACTCACTGCTGTCCAGGGCTTAGAGAGATGCTTGTGTTGATCACAAATCCATGGGAGGTACCTGGAGGTTCCTTGAACCTAAGAGCTCAGGAGGAAGACTGGTCAGAGCCGCTGGAGGGAGATAGCCCCACCCAAAGATAGCTCTCCAGATAGAGGCAGAGTCGTCCTGCCATTGACAGTTTTCCAAATGAGTGTGAGCTGATGGGTTTTCCTGGTGCAAGGAGGAGAGAGGGCTGGCTTTGAGTCCCCAAACTGCCATGCAGAGACTTTAAAGCCTGGAGCAAGTGGTTTGTTCTAAGCTTTACTATCTTCTGTAAATGGAGATTGCAACCTTAAATCTTTGTTTTGAGGATGACCTTTGTGTTGAGGTGACATTTTGATCCTCCTTCCAAATGTGATTACAGGCATGCATCACCATGCCTGGTGTAGGAGGGACCAGGGATCAAACCCCAAGTCTCATGCATGCTAAACAAGCACTTTATTCACCAAACCCCATCCTATGGCCTCCAACTCTCTATCACCCTGCCTCAGCCTCCCAAGAGCTAGAATTACAGGCACCTGTCATGATGTCCAACTGTGGGGGATGAGATTGTAAACACCTGTGAGGAGAGGACTTGGCATGGGAGATCTCTGCCAAGATGAGCCATTCTGAGATCACTTACAAATCTTCTAGAATAGTTTTACCTCTAATGTCTAACAACCCCGTTCCCTTGAATAGGTCTCATTTGTCCAGCATGTAGGAGCAGCACTAAGCCAAACTTCCATACCTCAAGGTCCTAGAGTTTCCTATCTATGTATCTTTGCTTCTGCAGATGGTCCCAGGCTTCCTTTCTTTGAACGTAAGAGACTGAAACATTCTCCCTGCTTTTGTAGCATTTTTCTCCCACCTCACCTGCTTCTCTGTAAATATCACACTGAGAGAAGCTGAGGGCTAAACTGTGAATTTGGTCCTTTCTCTGTGCCTGCCTCTCATCAGGGCTTGGGAATGGGTAGAGAACACTTAAAAGCTGTCTTACCTGCCGACTCTGGAGGTCTTTCTAGATCACACACCCAGCCCTGGAAACCCCAAAAGACCTGGAGTAACTATCTACCTGTCTGCATGAGTCACCATATTTGCCAACAAACACTAGTTGCTTTATCGCTGGGCGGTGGTGGCACACACCTTTGATCCCAGCACTCAGGAGGCAGAGGTAGGCAGATCTCTGTGAGTTCGAGACTAGCCTGGTCTACAAGAGCTAGTTCCAGGACAGCTTCCAAAGCCACAGAGAAACCCTGTCTTGAAAAACCAAACAGAAAAGAAAAACAAGAAAAAGCAACTCAAAATCCAAATAAACATGACAATAAAACTGTTTTCCTTGGGATTAGATTCACCTAGCTATTAAAATTGTAATAAGGGAGTTAAAGACAAAATAGAAGGAATGTGGAAAGCAGAACAAAGAGAGATAACATGGAAACATACAAAAGAAAACAGTGCAGGGGTCTAATGAGGAAGAGTGTCTGTCCTGTCGGAATTGACAGTGTAGTTAGAGACATTAAAACTCCCCATGGGGGCTGGAGAGATGGCTTAGAGGTTAAGAGCACTTGCTGCTCCTACAGAGGGTGAGGTTTGGTTCCTAGCACTTACACTCACAGTTTACAACCATCTATAATTCTAGTTCCAGGGGATCTGGCTCCCTCTTCTGGCCTCCACAGGGACCAGGCATGAACACAGTGCACATACGGGCACTGGGGGGGGGGGGGGGAACAACCATACACAGAAAATAAAAGCAAAGCAGTCTAAAAAAGGAAGGGGACAACTCATCCATGGATGGTCAAAAGACCAGAAGAATGGTGGTCAAGATGACTGGCCCAGACACTCAAGCTTGGAAGGGTCATGCCTACTTTTCTCCTGGGTTCTGGTCTAATCCACCCCTCTCCTTCTCCTAGCCCATCTTGCACAGTGCCTAAAGGACCATCTAAATCTGATTGTGTCCATCTACTCATGCTGCTAATTCTCATCCAGAAGCATCTACGTCAGAGTTCATCCATCAAAAGAGCACCCAGGTCCCATGACCCCAAACCCTCCCTTTGCTGGGTAGTGCCTTCTCCCATCTCCACATGGAATAATCTCAGTTTCCTCTGATGTAACTACTGCCAGGGTTTCTCAAGGCTCGCCCCTCTGCCCTGTGCCACACTCCATTTCTCCTTCTTGCCTGCAGGCAGCACTAGAGTTGGGATTGTGGTTTTGGATTTTTTTTTTTAAGTGTCTGTCAGTTCTTAGGAACCTGGTGTGGGGTTTGGCACTACACAGGCACAAGTGTATCTACTAGGCATATGTCCTTTGCAAGACAGCCTTTAAGCTGGACATGGTGTACTTACCTGTAATTCTAGTATTGGAGAGGTAGAGGCAGGAGTATCAGGAGTTTAAGGATAGCCTGAGCTAAATGAAATCTATCTAAAAATCAACTTAAAAAAAAACAAAGCAAAAAACCCAACAACAAAAAACCAACTGTCGTGGTTGGAATAGAAGTGGCTCCCATAAAGCCACAACCCCAGAGAACCTAGGTAACAAAGAGGACCCCAAGAGAGACAGACACATATGGACCTGCTTAGGAAGAGGGAAAAGACAAGATCTTCTGAGTGAATTGGGAGCATGGGGGCGGGGAGGAGGGTGGGAGGGGAGGAGGGAAAAAGAGTGGGGAAAATATATAGCTAAAAAAAATAAAAGAGTAACAGATACTGTGACTATCATGAAAATAGAGGGTTAACATTCATTGCAGATATCATATTCCTTTTAGATGAATAAAACTTCATAGACACAAAAAAAAAAAAACAAAAATAAAAGAATTGACATCTATAGACTCATGTGTTTTAATGCTTGGTCATAGGGAGTGGCACTATTAGGAGGTGTGGCCTTGTTGGAGATGGGTGTGTCCCTGTAGAGGTGGTCTCGTTTATGCTCGAGCTACATTCAGTGTGCTACACAGTCTCCTCCTGTAACCTGCCTATCAAGATGTAGAACTCTCAGCTACTCCTCCTGCATTACGCCTGCTGCCTGCACGACACCATATCCCTGCCGTGATGGTAACGGACTGAACCTCTGAAACTGTAAGCTGTTTTCCTTTATAAGGGTTGTCATTGTCATGGTGTCTCTTCACAGCAACAGTAAACCCTAACTAAAACATGTTCCAAAACTGGCTTATCTATATACTTACCCCTTCAAATTCCTGGCCTCACCTACAAGTAGCTCAAGAATGGAACACCTGGGCTGTAGAGATGGCTTATCTTGCAGAGGACCTGGGTTCAATTCCCAGTATCCACAACGAGTCTCACTACTATTCATAGCTACAGTTCAAGGGGATCTGATCCCTCCCCACCCCAACCTTTGCCGGCATCAGACACACATGTGGTAAACAGACATACATTCAGACAAACCATTTGCACACATAATATGAAGTAAATAAATCTAGAAAAGAAAAAGGAAAAAGGAACAGAACACCTGCCAATCCCCAAGAGAGTGAGAAACTGCCATCATAGACGAACACTGAACAGAGAAATAATGAAGTCCCAATCAAGCTGGCAGCATCGTCTAAACATCTGGATCCAGGTGTACAGATTCTCCACTGGAGAAAGCACGACACTCCTCCATAAACCAGTGCAAGATGAATTTCTGTGACAACCAGGGCTTCTGGATTTAATAGTGGATACTGGTGGTACACAGAGCTTCTGGGTTCTGGTCATGCTATTTCTCCATGTGGGAGCTAAATACATAATGTATCAGTACTGTGTAGTGGTACACACCTGTAATCCCAGCACTTGGGAGGTAAAGGCAGGAAGGTCAGTTTAGTGTCAGCCTGGGCTCACAGGGAGCTACAGGACAGCATGAGCTATATGAGTCCCTGTCTCAAACAAAACAAAATGTCATCAGGACAGCTTGGTAGTACATGCCTGTAATCCCAGCATTTGGGAGGCAGAGGCAGGAGGATCATGAGAAGTTTGAAACCAGTTTGCTCTACATCTAGTTGAAAGATTATCTCAGAGACAGAAAGAAAGAGAGACTCACAGAGAGAGAGAGAGAGAGAGAGAGAGAGAGAGAGAGAGAGAGAGAGAGAGAGAGAATGTCCATCAAGATACTTTTTGATGTTTTTTTTGGGGGGGGGTTTAGTTTTTTGAGACAGGGGTTCTCTGTGTATTCCTGGCTGTCCTGGAACTCACTCTGTAGACCAGGCTAGCCTCAAACTCACAGAGATCCACCTGCCTCTGCCTCCTGAGTGCTGGGATTAAAGTCATGTGCCCTCACTGCCCAGCATGCTCTGTGTTCTTTGCTCTTTTATGAGGTGCTATATTTTAGTAAAACAATTTAATTAGACCATGAGTATCATGTCAGGAAAAATTTGAAAGGCCACAGGAGAGCCAGGTGTGGCCACTCATTCCTGTAATCTCAGCACTCTAGAAGCCAAGGTAAGAGTACTGCCGAAAGTTTGAAGGCAGCCTGGCTCAATGATGAGTTCCAGGGCTGCCTGGATTTTAGGGTGAGACCAATGAGTACACAACATAAACCAGACACCCCACCGTCCAAGTCTAGAAGGAGTAATTAATTAGACTCTTGTCCTGCATTTCTTTCTGTGGTATTCCTTAAATATCCCTTACCATTTCATGGCCTGAGAGATACTAGGAGCGCTGCTTTCTGCCTGGTTTGCAGAGGAGAAAGCCGAGATACAGGGCAAGGGATGTCTGCCACCATAGGCACTGAGCTAGGACCCAGGAACTTCCAGCCAAGCTCCATTAGACAGCTCCTCTTGTCATCAGCCTGTCCCAGCCCTGGTGTGGAATCTAAGAGAGTGAAACATAATACTGGCAGGCTCAGATTTCTCTCAGCTTGGTGTCAGCAGGAGGCCATCCCTGCTCAGGAATCCCAATGGCTGGGCACATTGGTGAGGAAGTCAGTGGTAAATGTCACGCCTCGTAAAACTGTTGTGATAGAGTCCACATGTTCCTTAGGGAGAAGGATGTGTAAGAGAGGGAACAGAGAAAAAGAGAAAATGAAATTGAAAGGAAGAAATCAGAGAAAAGGAATTGGTCTTGTGATGGATCATGAG